GAAGAAAAATCTTCCTCATTATCTTTCCTCCTCTCTGTATGTCTGACTTTCTAATAAAAAATAAAAATTTTTTTTTAAAAAAAAGAGCTGGGCCCGGCGCGGTGGCGCAAGTGGTTAAGTCCTCGCCTTGCACGCCCGGGATCCCATATGGGCGCCGGTTCTAATCCCGGCAGCCCCGCTTCCCTTCCAGCTCCCTGCCTGTGGCCTGGGAAGGCAGTCGAGGACGGCCCAAAGCTTTGGGACCCTGCACCCGCGTGGGAGACCCGGAAGAGGCTCCTGGCTTCGGATTGGCATAGTATCGGCCCGTTGCGGCTCACTTGGGGAGTGAATCATCGGACGGAAGATCTTCCTCTCTGTCTCTCCTCTCTGTATATCCGCCTTTCCAATAAAAAATAATAAAAATAAATCTTTAAAAAAAAAAAAAGAGCTGAAACAATTCTTCCTTCTCAGATAATCAGAAGTAAGAAATTAGCTTTGCTAACTTCTCCCCTTGGACCCACCCACCTAATCCCCTACTGAGGATGGCAGAGCTGCCAGCTCACCACAAGTGTCTGGCCCTCACCTCTGCTAGGCCATACCCTTAAGTCAGGGGCCACTGCTGCCCCTGCCAGCTCTCACCAACCCCTCCCCAGGTCATCAACACTCAGAGGTGGGTTGGGAATCCTCTATTCATTGGAGCTGCCTCAACATCTTGTCTGAAAGTTTCTGAGAAACGACAAGAGCTTTGATGCCAAGCAGTGGAACTGAACCCTGGCTCCATCAGTACCACCTTAAGCAAACAGTAGCGGTGGGAAGGAAGGAAAAGCTGTCATCCTGGCAGGGCTCCTTAGAGCCTTAAATGAAGACACATGTAACATGTGCCCTGTAAATGAAGGTTTCTATTTCCAGCTGCTTCTGATTCCATGAAACAAGTCTTCAAGATCAACTAGTTATGTGTGGGATGCCCAGCGTGCCATGCTGGCTGCTACAAGAGCAAACAGCAGCCTCCCTCCCCTCGAAGTTGCTCGGTTTCAACAGAGTGCACCACGAGGGTCACAAGTCCAGAGTTCTGGGCACACAGAGATGAGCCATTCAAGGAGGCAGGTACGGAGACGCTTCAAGAGGCCCATGGACAGAGCAAGTGCCTGCAGCTGAGCTCCGGGAGGTCTGTCCCACATACAAGGGGAGCTTGGAAGATTCTTAGTGTTTAGCCTGAGGTGGCAGAGCTGCCTTCAGCTAGCTAGGCCCTGTGTCCTAGAGAACTGTATGGACAGTCCAAAGTGCTCAGGCTCCAAACCTTGAGACCCAAAGAGATCAGGAATCAGAGGCAGGTGCAGCTGCAAGGCTGGAATTCAGAGAATCAGCTGAGCATTATTTTTCTCACCCACACGTGCATCTAAGGCAGCCAAGAGGGAAAGCAAGGCTGGGTCCTTTTACATCATCAACTCCAGGGAGGCGCCTTACTACTTGATAACTAACCTGTACCTCCTGCTCCTATTTTTCTTTCTTTTAAAAAGATTTATTCAGTTTTATTGGAAAGGCAGAGTTACAGAGAGGAGGAGAGGAGAGGAAGATCTTCCATTTGTTGGCTCAGCTGAGTGGCTTCCACGGCTGGAGCTGAGCCGATCCAAAGACAGGAGACAGGAGCCCCTTCCAGGTATCCCTCGCAGGTGCAGGGTCCCAATGCTTTGGGCCATCCTCAACTGCTTTCCCAGGCCACAGGCAGGGAGCTGTTGGGAAGTGGAGCAGCCACAGTATGAATGGCACCCATTAGGGACCCCAGCACATGCAAGGCGAGGACTTCAGCCACTAGGCTACCATACTGGGTCCCCTTCCCCTACTCTTTACTCTGCCCTCTGCTGCCAGGTCCTGGGCTCACAGTCTCTTGCTGTACTTATTACCCGTGAACCAGCCCCTCGCCCCTACTACACCTCAACTGCCTTTCACTCTGCCAAGTATGTTACAGATCCCAAGTGCCTAAGTACAGCCTCTCGGTCCGACTGCTACAACATTCTCTCCTTCCACAACCTTGTTCAACAAGTCACCCCCACATCAGTCAGCTTTCACTACTGTAATGAAAACATTGGAAGCAGATTAACTCCATCAAGAAAAGATGTCTGTTTGGGCTTACGGTTGGGAGGTCGAGGGCCCCATCTGGCGATTGCTGGCAGAGGCATCACAGGGCAAGGGTCAAGGATATGCACAGGTGTTCCGATTCCCCTGCCTCCTTATAAAGCCACTGGGGTTCAGCTGTGAAGGCTCCGCCCTAATGACCTAATCCCTTCCATTTGCCCACCTCTGAATTGAGAAGCAAATTTGCATCTTAATACCATGAACAGAACACTGAGGGTTAAACTCGGGCACCACTTTAGGGGAACAGATGACACTCCAACCACAGCACCCCCACCGCAGTTCTGAACAGGTGCCCTCAGCCCCCTAACTCCTATTTCCTCTCAATCCTCTTAACGTCTCTTAGAATCCAGTTCAGATTCCCTCATTTCATCGTATGCCCACTAGTAACACTCCTAATCCACAGCCTGGGCTCTGTTGCTCCTCTGCATTTTCACCAGAGAAAACGCCAGGATCCCTCTCCCCACCCCAGCCCAGTTTTGAATGTAACCATTCAGTTCTTTCCGTATCTGCACCCCCACAGCAAACACTGCTACAGAAAAAGCCACACCAGCCAGGGCTAAGCCAGTCAATGCAAAGAACCAAGGACAAGGTCTCGCATGTGAGATGGCAGGGGTGGGAGCAGCTGAGCCCTTACCATGCTGACGTGCCTGCTCAGCTCTAGGTCCAGCTTCCTGCTAACGCACACAGTGGGAGCTGCAGGCAAGGCCACCACCAGCTGTTGGCTGATGCCCAAGAGAAAGACCTGCTGACTCCAGGCCTCATGTGGCCCAGGTTCCCGGCTGTTGTGGGCATTTAAAGAGCCAGCCAGCGGATGAAAGATCTTATTGTCTCTCAGTATCTGTCCTTCAGATAAACGAAAGGGGAAACCAGTCATGAAAAAAGACAAAATTAAAAGATAAGCTTATTTTGATATAAAAAGTTTTTTAAAACACATGACAGCTTTTTGTAATACATTTCACACAAACTTTTTCTTTTAAAGATTTATTTATATATTTCAAAGTCAAAATTAGAGGGACAGCAAGATCTTCATCTGCTAGTCCATTCCCCTTACATGAATTGTTTGAAGATTCTTCATATATAAATGCCTTGATTAGGGCAGCTCCTAAACTCAGAAACGTTTTTATTCAAGGAGGACACACACAAAATGGTGTTGCTATTAAATAGTTTATTTCAAGACACTAAGCCAAAGAAATGAACTCAAATTCTGTACCTGGAGCGTTGGCTTGACTAACAGATTTTTTTTTAAGGTTTCTTTATTTTTACTTGAGAGGCAGATTTTGCAGGTCCACCGGTTCACTCTCCAAGCGACCACAATGGCCAGAGCGGAACTGATCCAGAGCAGCCAGGAGCTTCTTTCAGGCCCTCCACAAGGGTAGCAGGGGCCTTAGGCCACGGGCCATCCTCCACTGTTCTCCCAGGCCGCACGCAGGAAGCCAGGCGGGAAGTGCAGCAGCTGGGACTTCCAGCACTGTGTGGGATTCCAGCACCTCAGGCAGAGGACTCGTTGCCTATGCCGCCTCGCCAGCTCCTTGACTACTAGATATTTTAACAAAAAAAGTATTTGTCCATGCTTTATAAAGCTTTTCATATAAATAACACATACTAGATACTTTTATGAAACAACCAGACATTTGGAAAAATCAAAATGTAGCCTCAACACAGGTATGTGCATAAATTAAGAATATCATGAATTTACTTTTCTGTACACACACACACACACAATGAGCCATTCTCCAGCCCTCCATTTTCACACACATTTTCTTTAACAGAATACCAGTATCCTTTGTAGGTAAGGCTTCAGGAATACAAGCTCTCCCTTCAAATCAGTAGCAGTTTACAAAGAAGCAGGACTATTTAAAGGGAAATGGAAAAGATAAAATAAAAGGAAATGATGAGGACCAAAGACAATGGATTTCAATTCTGCGACATCCATTCGAGGTTCTGCTGGGGAAGGTCCTGAGGGAGCCTGGTTCCAAATAGAACTTCTGATTGCAGGGACTGCATGGCTCTCAGCAGGCCACAGCAGCTTTATCAGGGACAAGCAGTGTGTGACAGCCTCCCACTTAGCTATATGTCACAGAAAGCTGAGCGTTCCATAACAGTGCTGCTAACATGTGAAAGCACAAAGTTTTGGAATATTAAATAATTTCTGTTTTATGGATGTATACAGCTACATCTCCTCACTAATCATCTTCTCCATGCACAAATAAAACATAAATCAGAAAACTGTAGGTGTCCAAAATGACAATTTTTTAAATTTCCTGAATCAACACCTGGTTAGGATTAGCTGATACTATCAGAATAGTTATTGTACATAATTAAACAGCAAACCCAGCACTATACCAAGCTACCTTCTCAGGCCATAATTCTATGTGCCACAATAAGTCATTTTTTTAACATATGTAGACTATCACAGTACTGTAAGTTTTTATATTCCTATATAATTTAACTTAAGCTTAGTCACTATAGCAATGATTTACATATGAATTTGGTAAAAAAAAAAATAAAGAACAAAGAGTTGTAAACATAATCTTATGCTTCTTTACCTTTGAGATACTATTAGAAAGAGATTCCACACCTTATTCTTTAAGAACTAAGAACTATAGTACCAAACATAATAAATAAACGCAGAACCTGGAGGCCTGGGAAAGGATACAGAATACCAAATGTAACAAGCCAGTGCATTAAAAGTCCAAAATTGCAGTATTAAGACTTCATCTGAATACAGTTTATTGCTACTACAAATAAACTTCACATTAAGGCACCTGTCATTATGAGACAGATTTAGGTTGAAAGAGTATATGCACTGTTAATTTTTTTCTTCTACTCTATTGTTACACATATTAACAAAGGATGGTTTTCTTTTTACATTTTTTTTTTTTTTTTACTTTGAAAGAAGAGAGACCTGCAGACAGCCAAATCTTCCACCTGCTGGTTCATGGCCAATTGCCACAACACTCAAGGTTGGGCTAGGCCAAAGCCAGAAGCCAGAAACTGCATTCAGTTCTTCAACGTGAGTGGCAGGGAATAAAGTTCTTAAGTCATCATTTGCTGCCTTCCCAGAATGCGCATTAGTAGGAAGCTCGAGTCTGAACCAGGCATTCCCCTGAGGGATGCTGGGGTCCCATGCAGCATGGTACCAGCAGTGTCAAATGCCTGCTCTCGGGCATTACTGGTTTTAAGTGTTAAGTTTAATATGTCAGTGGATAAACATGTGTGGACTTATTATCTGGATATAATTCAAAGTTGCTGTGTATTTTGATCCTTTAAAGCATCATATATATAAATGCTGTACTACTATGTGATGTTTTAATCAATGAGGAAACAGGCAACAATCAAATCAAGATGGCTGGAAATACAAGTCAGGACAACTTCCAAAAAAAATGATACAGTAGGGGCAGTAACCATGAGACCTTGGCCAACTCCTGTGACATGGCTGAGCTTTCCTCTCGCCATCTGTAACACTGCCATTGTAGCTGCTCTGTCAGGTTCAGGAAGACTGTGAGAACAAGTGAGACGTAAAAACACCAGATGAACCAGGCAGCAACTGAGTAAATGGTGCTATCATACACCAGACAGCACTGCTTTCTGATTTCTTCTCTGATAACAAGGGCACGAGCTGTTTCACTTGAGAACCCCCAGTTTTGATCAATTAGATAACTGCAGGATGAATGGGGCAGGAAAAACTCATATAAAGAAGAAAATCTCCAAATGGTAACTTTCAGAGCTTTATGAAGTAGTTGGCTGAAAACCAGGACCCCAACACACTTTTAGAAATTGAAGAGGGGGCCAGACTACACTCAGAACTCTTGATTTCTGGTCTTAATCTCCTGAGGACCGACCTCTGCCACCCTCACCATCTCTAGTCTGTAACACACAATGCCCTCTCATAACAGCAACAAAGAGTTTTTAAGGACATACACTAAGAAACACAGCAAAAGTTGAAGCAAACTTGGCACAAGTTTGAAACAGGTCAATAACCCCTACCATGGCCTTCCTTTCTTGGTCCATACAGCCTTTCTAATATATGGTAATGGTGCCAGAACAGCATTCCCTCATTTATATTCTGATGAACGCTAGCACAACAGGATGTTAACGACAGGAGAAAAACACCTCAGTGTTAAGGAGGTTTGTAATATACACGATGACATAGGCTCACTGCAGAGCCAGTCTTGGATGTACTAACTATGCATTTGAAAGAGGAATGTCGTGCACAGCATTTACCAATCTCATCTGACTGCTACATCCCTTTACCTCCCACAAGAGCCAGGAAGGCTGACAGCTCTGAGAATAGTCTTCAGGGAATGCTCTTCTGTCCAATGCGTTCAGGTTCTGAGGATTTTACAGGGCTAACTTTGACAATCATCAACACTGTTCATTTCTGAAGAACAGCTTTGTTCAGTGTCCACAAGGCCACCTGCTGTGATAACGTCATGGATTCTCCACTGGTATTCTTCCCAAAGCAACAAAGAACTACATTTCCTTCCAACAAATTAAAAAAAAAAAAGTCTGTTTTCATGTTTATGAGAGTTATCATCTTTTTAAGGAAATCCTTACATTCTTCTCCCAGACATTAAAAGTACAAAGGTGGACTTAATTCTAGATCGAATGATCTAGAATCACGATTACTTTAAGGAGGTAATAGCGTTTTTGCCACATTACTGTAATTAACACTACTAACAATCATAATAATGATAAATAACGGTGTGGTGGTAGTTGGCAAAACACTTATTTTCACATCTTAATTCTCACATCTATATTGCACATGTAGGACCTACTATTAGACCCGTTTAAAAGATAAGTATGTTGAAGTCTTGCTAAGGGTCATACAAAGGAACAAGCATGGAATCCAAAACTCATTTCTTACCCTTCACCCCATAGTGCCAGCCACCTTACATTCTGGTGACAAAACAAGGGCATGTAGGTCACAGTCTTGCCGTTATACAAGAAAATAAAAAGCATCTTGATATAAATCAACTTGACTGAAGTTGGTTTGGGATTTCCTTTTAAATAAATGCCCCCTCTTCAAGGAGATACTTCATGTTTAGGGGTGGGGGAAAAAGCATGGAAAAATATACTGCTATCTCTCCAGTGATGGGTTTACAGAGGGTTTTAAAAATCGGCATCTAAGGTGAAGACATTATCTGTGGTTTCCGCCATAACTGCAAAACGCTGATACTCTGAAACCCGTTTCTCAAAGAAATTTGTTTTGCCTTCTAAAGAAATGTTTTCCATGAAATCAAAGGGATTTTCTGCCTGGAAGACCTGAAAAGAAAAGGAGATACTATTAGACCATCTGAAGAAGCCAACTGGTATCCTGCAAAAAGAATACAGATCACAAGCCCCAGGGCCCAGGCCTCCCAGCACCCATCTAGCCACCACCAGGGCTGAGCTACCCCTGGAGGGACACAGAATGCTGCATCTGAAGATGACAAAGGTCTACATCAGCAGCTTTGGTACTTTATGATATAGAATGAAGAAACTGAAACTAACCAAATGGAAGTGTTTTCATACCTTGAGAAACCCCTAACATCCCAATAATTTCAGGCATTTTCCATAAGCATTGTTACCAGGAATTCACATATTCATAATATCGCAAAACATTAAGTGACTAAGAATGCACTGAGGTCTTAGTTCATTAAAAGCAACCAACAACTATCATGAAAGGAAGACAAAACACATGCTGCCCATCAAAGCATGGGACAAGCACCAAGCTCTCTCACTGCTTCTGAACTGACGACGCACACCTGCCACCCACTGATGGAAACTGGGATAGTTCTGTGAGTCAAAGAGAGATATGGAGAGAATTTCTGAATTTGCGAATATCCCAGCAGGAACTCTGAACACCCTGGATAAGAATCTAGTCAAACAAACTGATTTTTTAAAGGGGCAGAAGATCCAAGCAGACATGTCTCCAAGAAGATACACTAGTACAGAAGGCCATCAGCCATTAGAGAATGCAAATCTAGACCAAACTGAGAAGCCACTAATATTCACTATGGCTATAAAAAAGAGAGAGAGATAACAAGTGTTGGTAAGAATGTGGAGAAGTTGGGTGTAGCGCAGTAGACTAGTGGCTAAAGTCCTTGATTTGCATGCACAGGATCCCATGGGCACCGGTTGTGTCCCAGATGCTCCACTTCCCTAATTGTGGCCTGGGAAAGCAGTAGAGGGTGCTTCTAAGCCTTGGGACCCTGCACCCACATGGGTGACCCAGAGGAAGCTCCTGGCTCCTGGCTTCAGATCAGCTCAGCTCCAGCTGCTGCAGCCACTTGGAAAGTGAATCAGCAGATAGAAGATCTTTCTGTCTCCTTACTTTGTAAATTTGACATTCCAATAAATAATAATAATAATAATAAACCAATTTAAAAAATTAAGAACAGTTGGAATCTTCACATACTAGGGGGAATGTAAAATTGTTTGAATGGTCAAACATGATTAAACATGATTAAACATGGAATTAACACATGACACTGCAATTTCAACCCAGCTGTGTGGTGAAGAAAAATGAAACACAAAAACCTGCCTAAGAATGTTCACAGTAGCATTAATTGTAATAGCTAAAGGTAAAAATAACCTGGAAGTTTATCAATTAATGAATGGATAGATAAAATTTAGTATGCCCATTCAGCAGAAAAGCATTTAACCATTAAAGACACTGGGGTAGGGGCAGTTTTGTGGCATGATAGGTAAAGCTGCCAACCAAAATACCAGCATCTCATATGGGCGACAGCTTGTGTCCTGACTGCTCCACTTCCCAACTAACTCCCTGATAATGGCCTGGGGAACAGCAAAAAATGGCCCAAATGCTTGGGTCCCTGCCTCCCACATGGGACACCCCGATGGGGCCCCTGGCTCCTGGCTTCGGCTTGGCCCAGTGCTGACCATTTCAGCCATTTGGGCAGTGAATCAGTATATGGACGATCCCACTCACTCTATAATTCTGACCTACAAAATATATAAATCTTTTTTTAAAAAAAAAAAGGTTCTAAAACATGCGACAACATAAATGAGCCATTAAAACCTATTCAAGATGGAAGAAAGCCACAGAAGACAATGTATTACATGAATCCATTTGTATGAAATGGAATATAATCATGAGGCCAATCCATAGAGACAGCACTTAGAATAGTGGATGGCTGAAGTGAGGGCAGAGGGGCATGAAAGACAACTAACTATTCTTTGCAGAGTGACAATAATATTCTGGATTGGTTGGCTGAGAGTGTTGCACAACTTTGTGAACATACCAAAAACCAATGAACTGTACATTTTTACTGAGTAAATTGCAGGTTGTGTGACTGACTTCTTACTAAAGCTTTAAATGTATGATGACATTTAAAAGGGCAAGGGGAAGTTCATGTGCTCCACATGGCTGAGTTGGGGAATGCCTGAAACTGCCTGTCAGAAACTGCTAGGGAGTGAGTGAAAATCAGAGCCATCAGCGTACACGAGGCAGATTACCACAAACATTGGCCCACAGCCCTGGGTTCACTGGATTCCAGAACACAGAATCTTCCAGAAAAGTGTGATCCGAATCAGTCACAACACAGCCAAGCCGACTGAGACGAAGCTGAGTGAAACGGCTTGTGCCGACACTGAAAGCACTCCAGTGTTCTTACCAACTAATCTCAAAGTAAAGAAGAGACTGACGGCGCCATTAATATCAACCTTATCAACAAATCTGTAAAATCATAACCCTTTGCTGATTTAAACATTTTTTTCCCCAGCTCTCTGGATGCAGAGTTTAGTTCAACCATTTTAAATTCTCTTGCTTTCTTTAACACACATTCAAGACCACAGATAGCAAGCATACTGTGGATATCTTTCGCTGTATTCTAATGATTTTGACATATATTTACATTATGCATTATAAGGACATTTTAGTTCACATTTTCAGTAAGTTATAATTTTTACTTTTAACCTTATTTTAAAGGTTATCTCAATTTCTACATAGCAAAAAATTTTTATATTAATTTTTAGTTTATGGAATTAAAATCTAAGAGGTCCATGTAATTTTGGATTTTTATAATTTAGTCAGATATTTTGAAGACTTACAAAAAAATAAGGTTTTAAATTTTTCCACATTTTTCCTACAAGACAACCATGCTTTTCAGACCTATGACCACCAATTTCCCAAAAGGAAAAAAACCCGAGGATCAACATTTTTCTAATAAGCAAGGGAACATGGATGTATAGATATATGGATGTGAAGAAATGACGATGAGTTAAATTATGAATTCATTTTAAGGCTTAAATAAGCAAACTAATTTCCCTATAGCAAATACAGAAAACACACTGACAAAAGTTATCAATACACATAATTTCTTCTAAGAGATCATGTTAAGGTAATCATGATCTTGATTTCTCTGATTAATTACCAGCAAACAAAGAAAACTTTGCAGCAATAATAAAATATGGCTTATTTTTACCAAAAAAAAAAGTCTCCCCGACTCTGTCACTATGCTTTCCTGTGGTTGCCAAAACTACAATGCCAAGAAGGAAACTAGCATTTTGAGTGCATGGTGCATGTTTGGAGGTTCTAGCAGGGGAGGACAGCTGCTTGTACACCCTGACTGAAGACCGGTCCTCCACTGGCGGGGATGGTCATCCTCTCGGGCCGAGCATACAGCTTCAGGAGGAACGCACGTGGAGCAGCGAGGGAGGAAGGGGACACCCCTAGCCAGCCAGATCACTTTCAAATATGTAAATCTTTTTTTAAATAATAAATGAATAAGTAAAAAGCAAATTTTAAAAATTCTATATAAAATTAGAACAACATAACATAAACACTGTCAGAAAAACATGTTTTACAAGTATTACCTAACTGTAACATTTCAAGTAGTAGTAACACATTTTTTTAAAACTTCACCTTTTGGGCCAGTGCTGTGACAAATCAGACAGAGCAGCTGGCTGCAGTGCTGGCATCCCAGAGGGGCATCAATGTGAATCCTAGCTGCTATTCTTTTGTTTTTTTTTTTTAAAAGGCAAAATTACAAAGAGAGAAGGAAAGACAGAGAGAGAGAGATCTTCCATCTGCTGGTTCACTCCCCAAATGGCTGTAATAATCGGAGATGGGTCGGTCTGAAGCCAGGAGACAGGAGCTTCTTCCAGGTTTCCCAGGTGGGTGCAGGAACACAAGGACTTGTTTCAACATCCACTGCTCTCCCAGGTCATTAGCAATGAGCTGGATCAGACGTGGAACAGCTAGGACTCAAACCAGTGTCCATATGGGTTGCCTGTGTCATGGCAGAGACTTAGTCTGCAATGCCATAGCACTGGCCTCTGCTCCATTTCAATCCAGATCTCTGCTAATGTGCCTGGAAAAGCAATGGAGAATGGCCCAAGTTCTTGAACCCTTGCATCCACTGAGAGACCAGGAAGAAACTTCTGGTTCCTGCAGCTCAGCTCTAGCCATTGGAGCCATTTGGGGAATAAACCAGCAGGGGAAGATCTCTCTCTGTCTCTCTGATTCTCTTCTTGCTCTCTCTGTAACTCTGCCTTTCAAATAAATAAAAGAAAATCTTTAAAAACAAAAAACGGGGGTAGTCAGAGTAGCGCAGCAAGTTAACCTTCTAGCATCCTACATGAGTGCTGGTTATAGCCCTGGCTGCACTACTTCCAACCAGTTCCCTGATTACGGCCTGGGGAAACAGAGGGTGGCCAAGGCCTTGAGCCCCTGCACCCACATGGGAGACCCAGAAGCTCCCGGCTCTTGCCTTGGAATCAGCTCAGCTCTAACCACTGTGGCCACTTGGGGAGTGAACCAGAGCATGGAGGATATGTCTGTTTGTCTGTCTTTCTAAATCTGACATTCAAGTTAAATAAACAAATCTGGGGAAAAAAAAAAAAAAGACGCTAAGGTTAAAAACAAAAACAAAAAACCAGTACCTTTGCGAATCCAAGTTCCATGAGTAATCTGTCTGCTACAAACTCAATGTACTGTTTCATCAAAATGCAGTTCATCCCAATGAGGCCGACAGGCAAGGCTTCTGTTAAAAACTCCTGACAAGCAAGCCAAAACAGCATGAAGTGTAAAGACAAAGCAAGAAGTAAGCACACTTTCCAAAGAGAAGGTTTTTGTCTTTACTTCTTAAGACACGGATGTTGCTAAAGTAAAAAAGGATAAATTCTTTCAACATGGAATATGATGTTCACTTGTCTAAAAACACATCGGATATAATTATTAATATTTTTCACACTCCCAGATAGCCAAAATAAACAGAAACTAATTACCAAATTACTGGATTGTTACAAGTGGTACATGTAGGATCTGGGCTCCTACATTTTCTGGTAGATTAAAAGAGATATTTTGTTCAGAAAAACTTAGAAAAAGCTTCACCAAAGTTGATGATCATGGGGAACATTACTATGGAAAGGAGTTGGAAAACAAGAAAGCTCAGCTGACAAAGACTACGACCAAAAAACAAAAAACAAACAAACAAAAAAAAGAAACATCAGCGGATCTGGAATTCGGAAGGTAAATGACACTCCAGCTACACTGAAAGACAATGGGAATGGGCTGGTGTTGTAGCCTAGCCCAGTAAGCCTCTCTATGTGCAACTGCAGCATCCTATGTTAGACACTATTTCTGATCCAGCTCCCTGCTGATTCTGGGAAAGCAGTGGAGGATGTCCCAAGTGTTTGGGCCCCTGCACCCACGTGAGAGGCCCAGAAGAAGCTCCTGCCTCCTGGCTTCAGAAGAGCCCAGCCCCAGTCATGAGGCCATCTGGGAAAGATCCCTCACTGTCTCTCCTCCTCTCTCTAACTCTGCCTTTCATAGCAATAAAAAATAAATTTATGAAAGAAATTTTAAAAAGGCAGGGTAGAATGTTAATAGAGGAAAAATAAAACTATTTCTTTATTTGAGTTTATTTTGAAAATAATTAAAGATATCAAAACGCATTATATACCATTTCCCTTACCAATATAAAAACTATGAAGTAGGCAGTGTTTCAAGAAAGATTTCGTTTTTAAACTACTTCTTTAGAATGCTAAAAACACATCCTGAGTACTCCACCTGCTATTTCTGGTTTCTAATCCATTTACTTATTCGTTCTATAAACATCGTGTTCATGCTTCAGCTAGGTACCTGCTAGGTTATTGAGAATACAAAATAAACAAACCAACAATCACTGTTCTCTAGTAGCTAAAAACCTAAAAATGTACAATAAAGTTTGCTACTTTGTGAAGATTGACAGATAAATTGACAGAGAAAAACAGCCCCTCAGGGTGTTGGAATAAATGTAAAACCTTAATATACTCACTTAATAGAATGACTTAGGAAAAAAAAAAGTTATTTCAAGAAATAAACAAATAAAATATAAGGTTGGGAAAGAAAAAAGATTGACTTACAAATGAAATTATACACTGACTTGTAGTAATTGCCATCCAGCATGTACTGGCACTGTCAAAGTTGGCCAACTAAAATTGCTGCAGAATGTCAAACTCCTGATGAACCTAACACACTGATACAAACAGCAGAACTGTGTGAACTCTGCTCACCTGCTCAATTTCCACAGCGTTCACAATGATCTCTCGGACTCGCTCTTCTGAAGGCTTATTCACTAAATACTGGAACATCAAGCAAGCAAAGTCACAGTGCAGTCCCTAAAACAGAAAGCAAATGTCTCTGTCAGTGAACTAGTCCCCGCTTTGCACACAATCACAAACATCATGCAGTTTCTAGCAATACATCACTGAATTTCTAGAAAATCAAAGAATGACTAGGGTCGATAATTTATTTTCTTCAAATTCCATCAAATGCGGACACAAAGCCAACAACTCTTAGTTGATTAACAGTATGGAAGAATTAATTTACAAATAAAAACCTATGACCAAATGCACTCTGCAAAGGAAAACAAAGAGCCAAAATAAAATCTCATTTGTTCTTTATTTATTTGTTTCAATGATCTTTCATCTGCTGGTTCACTGCCCAATTGGCCAGAGCCTAGAGCCAAAGCCTCTTCCAGGTGTACAAAGTTCCAAAGCTATGGGTCATCTTCCCCAGGCCACAAGCAGGGAGCTGGATGGGAAGTGGAGCAGTCAGGACATGAACCAGCATCAATATGGGATTCCAGCTCTTGCAAGGTGGAGGATTAGCCAATTGAGACATTTCACGAGGCCCTCGTGAATTTTTTCAAAATTTATTTATTTGGGGTCCTGTGCCACATCAATGGGCTAGACCTCCACTTTCACACATGGCATCCTATATGCGCGCCATTGTACCTGTGTGGGCAACCCAGAAGAAGCTCCTGGTTGCCGGCTTCAGATTGGCTCTGGCTGTTGAGGCCACTTAGGGAGTGAACCAGCGGATGGAAGATCTTACTTTATCTCTTGTCTATAAATCCAACTTTTTAATAAAAAAAAATCTTATAATAATATTTATTTATTTTTGAAACTCAGAGTTACAGAGGAGGGGTGGGGGAAGACACACAGAAAGAAATCTTTCAAGGTTATCTCTATATGTTGAGAGAGTGAATTAAAATTCTTTCAATTTTCTATAATAATAACATTTAAAATAAAATTTATTAGAAATTTAAAGGGGGCCCGGCACGGTGGCGCAAGTGGTTAAGGTCCTCGCCTTGCACGCCCGGGATCCTATATGGACGCCGGTTCTAATCCCGGCGGCCCCACTTCCCATCCAGCTCCCTGCCTGTGGCCCGGGAAAGCAGTCGAGGATGGCCCAAAGCTTTGGGACCCTGCACCCGCGTGGGAGACCAGGAAGAGGCTCCTGGCTCCGGATCGGCATAGTATCGGCCATTGTGCTCACTTGGGGAGTGAATCATCGGACGGAAGATCTTCCTCTCTGTCTCTCCTCTCTGTATATCCGCCTTTCCAATAAAAATAAAATAAATCTTTAAAAAAAAAAAAAAAGAAAAGAAATTTAAAGGCACAAGGGCTCAGCTTGCAGCGCAGCAAGTTAAGCTGTGGCTTTGGACACTTCTATTCCATATCAGAGTGCAACCCTGTTACTCAGATTGCAATCCAACCTCCTGCTAATGCACCTGGGAAGTTGCAGAGAATGGTTCTATCTTTTTTGAGTTTTTGCCATTCACAAAGGATTCCCCAGCTGGCAATTCTTAACACTGGGCTTCAGCCTACTCCAGTCTAGGATGCTACAACCATTTGGGGAGTAACCAGCAAAGGAATGCCATCTTTCCCTCCCTATTTCCCTCTTTGTCACTCTGTCTTTCAAATAAATAAATAAGTATTTTCTTAAAACAAAATGTAAAGGCATAGATCAGAAACAAGGCATTTTATAGCACTTTAAAAGCACGTTTGGGCCCGGCGCGGTAGCCTAGCAGCTAAAGTCCTCGCCTTGAACACACTGGGATCCCACATGGGTGCAACTTCTTATCCAGGTGGTCCCGTTTCCCATCCAGCTCCCTGCTTGTGGCCTGGGAAAGCAGTCAAAGTTGGCCCAAAGCCTTGGGACCCTTACACTCACGTGCGAGACTTGGAAGAGACTCCTGGCTCTTGGCTTCAGATTGACACAACTCCGGCCGTTACAGCCACTTGGAGGAATGAATCAGCAGACAGAAGATCTTTCTCTCTGTCTCTTTTCCTCTATGTATATCTGACTTTGCAATAAAAATAAATTTTTTTTTAAAAGAAAGCACTTTCACAGGTGCTATTTCCTTGCATTCTAACAAAACCATCATGAGGTTTAAAGTTAAGAAGAACCAGAAATTCAGAGCAGTAACATGACAAAGCTTTTAGAAATCAGCTGAGGAGTCCAAATTACAGGTACAGTCAATCCATGTGAACTGATGGGTTGTAATGGGCAAGACAGTGAGAAGAGAAAGCTAAGCAAGGCCAGGTTTCTGCCCTAAGCAGCACAATGCCTAATGCAGAGAAGAGATATCAGAAATGTAAATGGGCTGTAAGAGTTTCACTTTTCCAATGAGTGCACAAAGAGTGGAAAATTGTACTGAATTGTGCCAAAAGAGTTCTGAACTGCCTCTTGACCAAAAAAAAAAGGTGGAAGACAGGAAGGGTAACACAGGCTAAGATGATGCTATGGACTGGCTGTGGCTCGCCCCCCAGAGGTTCTTGTGCTGGAGGCTGGGTGGGTGGTTGGGGTGGTGGTGTGGAGGTGATGGAACCTTTAAGAGATGGGGCCTTGGTGAAAGGCAATTAGGTCACGGGGCTCCGCACTTGTGAGTAGATTAGTGCTGTCTGGAAGAAGTGGGTCAGGTGTCTGTGACTGGATGAATTATCTAGAGCACAAAAACACTTGTGTTTCTCCACCAAGCCACGGAGCTCTCTGCATCAGAGGATGGTATCAGGCCATCTGGATTGTCCAAACAGCGATGTCATGAGCCAAATAAATCCATGTTTATTATATATCCCCTAATCCTAGATATTGTTATAACAGCACAAAACGCATTAAGACAGAGTAACAAGATTTACTGATTGATACATGTAGCTGAAAAAGAAAAGAATTGGGGCCAGCAAAGTGGCAGGTAGGCAGGGTCACTGCTTGTGATGCTAGCATCACATATGGTGCCAGTTCCAAATAAGCTCCTTGCTAAAGGGCTGAGAAAAGCAGCGAAGGATGTCCCAAGTGCTCGGGCCCCTGCCACTCACATGGAAGACCTGGATGAAGCTCCTGGCTCCTGTCTTTGGCCTGGGTCAGCTCTAGCTATTGTGGCCATCTAGGGAGTAAAACAGCAGATGGAAGATCTTTCTCTGTGTCTCTCTCTCTATGTAACTCCGACGTTCAAATAAATAATTAAAAGCAATCTAAAATGACTCCTAGATTTGCAATGATCTGACTGGATAAAAGAATAGTGCCAATTCGTGAGGCAGGGAAAACAGAAGGAAGAACACTCTTCAGGTTTTAGATGGCAAGCTTGATTTCTGAACTGCTGGGTTTTTGATACCAGTGAGACCTTCCAGGAGAAATGTCTCACATGCACTTGAACATGCACGCACGGTTTGTGTTCAGGAAAGACAAACGTGGAGAAGCTGGGAGCACTTCAGTAGTAGTTCATTCCATGGAATAAACAAACCCAGCCAGAAGGAAGGAGGCCAACGCAGGAGTTCACAGACACAGACACGGGTGAGCACTGGAGATGGAGCAGCGATGGTCAGAGACACAGCAGGGAAAGGGCAGCGTCCTCAAGGCGTTCTGCTTCCTTTCCATTACCAGGATACTCGTATCCCCACAAGTATTTTCCAGGGGAAACACAGCTAAACAAACACCAAATACGAACCAAAACATAACTGAAAAACAACAAAAATCACGTGCCCCTTACTTCATCTCTGCTGATGAGTTCATTGGAAAAAGTGAGTCCAGGCATCAGGCCTCTCTTCTTCAGCCAGAATATAGCAGCAAAAGATCCCGAGAAGAAAATTCCTTCTACGGCAGCAAAGGCCACCACCCTCTCCCCTGGGAGACACAAAATACAAGTGTCATTTGCTGAAATAAGTGGGCATTCACAGGTTCACAAGAGATCTTGAGTTGTTTTTACACTACTCCAACTACCTGCTGAGACAAAACTGAAAGTCAGTACCATGGTCAAGAGTCTTCTGGAGAGGAAATGTCCCACCTCCACCCTAAAGGGCAGGAAGGTATGTGTGCTCTGTCTCCTTCAAGTTCTACATGACACAATAGGATCCTGTAGAGTTGGTGCCTGCATTAATATCGGCCCTCGCACACAGCAAAAGAGATCTGTCTGTGTACCACACAGGCCTGGGAGTGTAAGTACATGCATGTGTGTGTAAAGAGTGGGAAGTGGAAAACAGGCTTTACAACAAATATTTGGAGGCCTGATGCAATGGCTCAATGGCTAAATCCTCGTCTTGCAAGCACCAGCATCCCATATATGTGCCAGGTCATGTCCTGGCTGCCCTACTTTCCATCCAGCTCCATGCCTGTGGTCTGGGAAACCAATAGAGGAAGGCCCAAAGCCTTGGGACCCTGTACCCACATGGGAGACCCAGAAGAAGTTCCTGGCTTTGGATGGGCTCAGCTCCAGCCATTGTGGCCAGTTGGGGAGTGAACCAGAGGATAGAAGATCTTTTTCAATGTCTCTCCTTTTCTCTGTAAATTTCATCTGCCTTTCCAATAAAAACAAATAAATCTTTTTAAAAAAAGAAAAAGGCCTGCTTACGGCACGAGGGAAGGTTGTGAGGTATATTATTTTGAGACTTACAGTATCCCATTGACTAGCTGGGAACATTTAAAAAAATATTGCCATGCATCCATAATATAAGATCTGTATGGGTCAGATGCATGCACTAGCATACATGGGAATCCAGAATTGGGCTTGTTAGCATGAAACATTGCTGATCACCACATACCAGTCCACACAAAATCTAGAACTGGGGAACTGTCTAACAGGACTAGATCCCAGTAACTGACTGACTGAATGTTGGAACAGGGGGACGGGTCACATTAGGTAGGACTATGACACTAATCAGCATGGAAGAGAACCAGGTTCGGGGATTTGTGGGTCAGACCTGTGGAAATGCAAGTTCCATTGGTTAGCTCAAAAGTTAAGGTGGTGAGGGGCTAAGCTAGATGTGATTATGGAACCTGCCAACACTCCCGGGTACAGGAACCAAGAATAGTCTGGGCAGGTCCAGGCTGCAGGACCCACATGAGCACCATCAAACAGGGTGAGCCAGACCACAACATTCACTAGCTCATACTAGGTCAAGATGGAAGAGCAAGAGCCTAGTACCCACTGGCATGCATGAGATCTGGGTCTGGGAGTGGACAGAGTAGGGGATCTTGGGAAACTCCCCTAGTGGGTCATAACTCCTGCTGGTAAGCACATGGTCTAGAACTGGGAGTGGAGCAGGCTGGGCAAGGTAGCTCCAACTGTTGGCCAATGTGTGGGTTGGTTTTGGAAAGACACAGACTAGGCAGGACAGAGCAAACCTTAGCTCACAGGTAAGTGCAAAAACCAGGCTGGAGCACAGGTCATGCTGGGCCTGGCTGTCACACCTTTCAGTTTGCACGAGTCAGGGATGGGAGCAAACTGAGCAGAGCCAGGTTCCAGCACCCACCAGCGAGAGTTGGGACTGGGGGCCAGCCAAGTCAGGCAAGGCTACAACATCCAAAGACAAAAGCCAAGACAGGTGAGGAGCTATGCCAAACTGCATCAGAGTAACCACTGGCATGCACAAGATCTATGGATGGGAACAAGCCTGGCTGGGGAGGGAGTAAATGGGATGCCCTGGCTGGGTTGTGGTTCCCACTGGTGAGTGTGAAGGCCAGAGTAGGGGCTGCTGTCTACTCCAGACATGGCTGCAGTGTCCCTTGGCACAAGGTGTGGACTGGATCTGGGGTGCACCACACTGGGTTAGACTCCAGCACCTACTGGCACTCATGAGAACCAGGGTAGGTATAGGATGGGCTAGGCTGGGTCTCTGCCCCTGCTGAGCCATGTGTGAGCTGTGTCTGGGTACAGACCAGGCTTGGCTGCGCTGCAAAACCCCAGAGTGAAAACTGGAATGGCCAGTCAGGAAAGACCACTGTTCCTGCTAGGACAGGAAGTAGACTAAGCAGGGTTGGCCCGTGGACCCACCGGTGTGTGCGAGATCTGGCATTAGGAGAGGTTCTGATGGAGGAGCTTGGGAAACTCCTCTGTCAGGACACAGTCCCTGCAGGTGAGCACAAGAACCACAATAAGAAGCAGCCCAGACTAGGCCAAGGAACGCTACCTATAGACATACATTTGGCGCAGGCCGAAGGTGAACCATGATGGGCCAGTTTGTATCATCTACTGGTGAATCCCAGCACCAGAATGGAATGTGGGTCAGTCTGGGTTGAGTCACAACACAAGCCAGTTCACAGGAAGGCCAGGACTTGGGCTGGAGGGGCTGAGCTAGTCTGTAGACCCCACCAATGTGAGCTGGAATTGGGGTGACCCAGGACAGGACAGGCTACACAGCCACTGGCAAATACTGAGGTGAGGTAGGCCAGGCCAGACTGCACCACAGCTCCCAACCAACACACGGGAGACTAAGAGGAGAGGGGGCAAAGCCAGTAGGAGGGCTGTGGAGGGTTCCCCTGCTGGACCACCATTCCCACTGGAGAGCATGAGTTGGGATGGGGCAGACCAGGCCGAGCAGAGCTACAACACCTGTTGGCCTCATGTGGCTGGATCAGTGGAAAGCAAGGCTGGGTTGACTGTTCCTACTGGAGCATGCATAAGTCAGAGTGAGTGTGGATTGAACTGGTTGGGCTTTGCTGCAGCATCAGCTGGAAGATGAGGCAAATTCTGCAAGTTAAACTGCAGAACCACCTAGAAAGTGCAAGAAGTGGGAGTTGGAGTGGGCCCAGTAGGGAAACAGTGGGCACCTTCCTCTTGGGTTGTCACTCTGGTGAGCATGAGAAGCAGGACTGGGGCAGGCATGGCTAGACAGAGAGTGGCACCCACCAGCACGTGTGTGGGCTGGATAGTGGAGCAATTGGGTTGAACTAGGCTTCAATGCCTTTGACATGTATGAGAGATGAATGGGATGTGGGACAAACTGGACCAGTCTGCAATACATCCTGGCAAGCACAAGAACCAGGGCAGGGGGTGGGCCTGGTGGGGGTTGTTGCAAGTCACTCCAATTAGGCTACAGCTCCCACTAGTGTACGTGAAGGCCAAGTGTGTGGTGACCAGGATCAGGCTGGGCTGCAACACCCATTGGTTTGTGTAGAAGATAGGATTGGAGACAGAACTGACCCAGCAATTCCAACCACCAGCATGTGCATAAGCTGATTGGGGTGATGGACTGTGCAGGACCCTTTACTGGCAAGCATACCCAAGAATCAGGTCTGGGATCACCTCAGATGAAATTTCTATGGGTATCTACACAACTGAACCACTGGACTCAAAACCCCAACCATGGACAGAACTGTAGGTTCCCTGGTCTGACCATGGAGTGCATGTGTCAGAGCTGGACCTCTTCCGTGGCTTAGATGGAACAGTGTACAGCATATCCAGGTGTACATGGAGGATATGGCAGTACATTGGAGTCTGCAGAGGAAACCTGGTACCACAACAGAGAACGGAGGACAGAACAAATTGATCAACTACTCCAGCCAAGTGTTGGCAGTGAATATTTGGGCAGAGACTCTAAGGTGGACTACGTCAACCAGTAGATTCTGGAGAGATTTCATTGTGCCTAAAGTGGTGAGATCAGCAGCGATATGGAACTGTTGAACTATTGAAACCTCATGAACAGGACCCTCAGAGCATGCCCCACATTGGGGACCCTGGGGTGCTGTTAGGTGGCTGTCCTCCATCCCAGGGTGCAGAGGTGTTTGAGACACTGGATGTGGCTTCTCTCCTTACTTCTCCCTTTCCCCCAGAAACAAGACGTAAAAAAGAGAATGTAGAAATGGTGATTTCACCCACCTTCCTGTAGCCCTTGACCCTTTCACCCTAATCAACTACGTAAAAATCATCAAAAATAAAAATAATCAACAAATTTTTTAAAAAGACTCTGAGAGAAAGAGAGTATCTGTAAGAGCTAAAAATCTTTTGCAAGGATGATACTGTAGTCTATCCCAGTACTTACAGGATCAGACTAATGGCAGGTACTTAATGAATGAACTCTGAATGGACACAATGAAAACTATACAATAAGGACTAGACAAAAAAAAAAAGACATTTAAAAGCCATTTCTATGGAAATTGTACAACTTTGATGCAGAAACTGAAAACAGTAATTTTAAAACAAATGTAATAAATCGTATTTAAAATTTTAAAAGGAAGATGCCTAAGTGTAAATGATTCTACTTATCACTGAACAATACTGTTTGTCCTTCCTCTTTTCCTTGATTATTTTTTTTAAAGATGTATTTATTTCTATTTGAAAGGCAGATCAGATTTACAGATAGAAGGAAAGACAGAAAGATCTTCCATACGCTTGTTCATTCCCCAAATGGCTGCAAGGGCTGGAGTTGAGCCGATCTGAAACCAAGAGCCAAGAGCTTCTTTCAGGTCTCCCATGCGGGTCCAGGGTTCCAAGGTTTTGGGCCAACCTCAACTGCTTTCCCAGGTCACAGGCAGGAGGGAGCTGGATGGGAAATGGAGCAGCCAGGATACGAACCAGCACCCATATGGGATGTTGTGCTTGAAACGCAATGACTTAGCCACTTTTCAGCCATCATGCTAGGTCCCTTTCTTGATTATTTTAAAACAAACCGGGCCCGGCGTGGTGGCGCAGTGGTTAAGGTCCTTGCCTTGCATGCCCGGGATCCCATATGGTTCTAGTCCCGGCAGCCCCACTTCCCTTCCAGCTCCCTGCCTGTGGCCCGGGAAAGCAGTCGAGGACAGCCCAAGGCTTTGGGACCCTGCACCCATGTGGGAGACCTGGAAGAGGCTCCTGGCTTCGGATCGGCATAGTATCGGCCGTTGTGCTCACTTGGGGAGTGAATCATCGG